AAGTTCTTCATAAAATACTATGTAATTACTTATATAAATTACTCAATAAAGATATGAGCAAGGCCTCACCTTAAAAAAAAAAAAATAATAATAAATTGCTTATTATATAATATACTCTAGATATATAATACTATACATTTTTTTAATATATAATTAAAAATTTAGTATTTAATATATAAAAAATTGGTTTAAAAAATTTTTAACTAATTAGAATTTTGTTATACAAAAATAGACAATCAGATTTAAGTATAAATTTCAAAGTTTAGTGTTTTTTAAAAAAAATTAAATATTTCTTACTATCCAATACTGTAGTTAGCAGAAGCTATAGTAAAATTTATTAGTTAAATATTTTTTACTTAATAAGCAATTATGTTTTATTAGTAAAATTTTTACCATATTTGTGTGTAATAACGGGCTAGGATATTATTTTGAGCCATGGCCTGAATTAAGCTTAATTTAGGCCAAAATTTAAAATTACACCCCTGCATATTATTATGCGAAAATATGATAGTAATTTTTGGATTAAATCAATTAATACTAATTTAGCTAACCAGAGTACCAATATATTCTAATCTGAAATTTTCTTGTATAAGTTATATATTTTATATTCTGATATTTTTTTTTTATAAAAATATATATTAAATAAAAACATTTATACTATATAGTTATAAAATAATATACAGAGATATAATTTTAAATTTCTTTAGACCAAAATTCAAAATAATATTATTTTACAACTATATAGTAAAAAGCCAAGTAAACTGGGTATATATTAATATATTACTTATTATTTATTTAAGAAATTAGTATTTTTATTGTATTTTTATTATATTTATTAAAATTTATAATATACTAGAGTTTGATTTCAAAACTATTACTATTTATTTAATTTATTTCTTACAAAAAACAAAAAATTTACTTCTGAAAAACAAATTTCAAAGTTAATATACTATATATTAAAATTTATTATAATTAACAAAATTATAAAGAAATAGATAAATAATACAAAATAGTTGTAAAAATTTTAAAAAAGTTTGCAGTAAGTTAGCTTTTTATTATAGCCAATAGTATAAATATTTGTTTTGTTGTTTAAAAGCTATAGTTTGTAAAATCCCAATATATAAATATTGTAGCATATTATTAACTAATATATTAGCTATAGCTAAGTATATAAAAAACTATAGCTTTATTGAAAATGCAATATTATTTTACTAGTTAGTATACTAGCTATGGCTATGTATATAAAAGACTATAGCTTTACTATAGAGTTAGAATTGGTTGATTAGATTAAGATTAAAAAATTTTTTAAAAATAAAAAAACATTAAAGTGAAAAATTTTTGAAAAAATAAAAAGTTAGATCAAAAACTTAATTTAATAAATAAAAAACAAAAATTGGTCAAGATAATATACAGTATAATTAAACTTTTCAAAACTATGTATTTGAAGCAAAATTTTAATTTTAATAAATTTTTAAACTAAAAATGTTGTAAATTTTTTACAAACAGAAAATAAATAATTAAATAATACTTTGAAAATAGTTTATAAATTTTAGTTAAATTTTTTGAAAAAAAAATAAAGCAAAAAAATCCAAAAATGCTAAACAAGAAGAAGTGAAGATGCTAACAAGATAAAAAAGTTTATTCACTCTCTTTCTTTTAGAGATATCCAAAAATAGTGCAAATGGTATTTTGTTATCACACAGCACTAAACTTTTTATAATTATTTGTATATTACTTAGAATAAGTCAGCTACAAATAACAAATCTTATTTCTTAAGAATATCAATTATAATAAGGAATAGATGATAAAGAAACAACATCAAGATGAATACTCTACACTATTACCATGTAGTCCAAAATTATATTTATTACTAATAAATAAATAATCTCTTTGTAGTGGAAGAGGAAGAATATAGCATCATAATAATTGATAATATAAACAAACTATATTTTAATAATGGGGATCCAGCAAATAATCTTAAGATAGGTGAAATTAATATATCTTATTTATTCCAGAAATATCAAAATGAGTTAGTAAAGATTACAAAAAACTGATAGTCTATTTGTTGAATTAAATGTATATAGAATACTGGCACTGTTTTTTTTTTTTTTTATGCTTATTTTAGGCTTACTCAAAACAGATAGTTAACATATTCAGTTCTTTTCTGCTTAGTTTAATACTATACTGTATACACTAAAAACAAATTATCTAGATTAGAAATTTGAAGAGACTGTAAATAGATGCTAAAGTATTAAAAATATATACTATAAAGTAAAGACTAAGATAAACTTTATAAAAGCTAGATAATTGTAACAGTTTACACAGGTCGAATGAAGGCAAATCGAGCACCAATTAGCATCATGTAACCCGATATGAACCTCTGATATTTGGCGCAGGAGACTTTTAAGGTACAAATCGGGTTCATATAGGCGTTCAATATATATCTGAATGCCGATAGCTTTATAGGTAAATCGATAAAGCTATAAGGCAAAGCTCTATCGATTTATTATAGAGCCATCGGCATTCAGATATATTGAACACCTATATGAATTCGATTTGTTCTTAAAAGCCTCCTACGGTATTTGCGCCAGATATCCACAGGTCGAATGAAAGCAAGTCGGGCACCAATCGGCATCATGTAGCCCGATATGAAACTGATTTGAAACTGATTTTTCTTTTATTTTTTTTTTAGGGTCCTGATTTTTCCACTCCCTTTTTTGATATTCCACACCCATATGCAAAATCATGTCTTTTTTTTTAACTTTGATCGAAAGTAACTCGTCATCCACATAGCCAAATTGATGAAATTTTTTATTTAAATTCTCCGGAACTGTAGAATTCAAATAAAAAAAAATTCATCGAATTTGGTTATGTGGGTGTCGAGACACCTTCGATCAAAGTCAAGAAAATTTTGCTGCAGCTAATATTTTGATAGACGATTAAAAATTTTTCTTAAAAATATCTCGACACCCACCAAACCAAATTTGATGAATTTTCTTTTATTTGAATTCTATTGTTCCAGAAAATTCAAATAAAAAATTTTCATCAAATTTAGTCGGGCGGTTGTCGAGATATCTTCGATCAAAGTTTTAAAAAATTTTATAAACGTCAATCAAATGGCAAGATTTATTTGAATTTGGTCGAAGATATCTCAACAACCACCCGACCAAATTCGATGAATTTTTTTTTATTTGAATTCTACAGTTTCCAAGAATTCAAATAAAAAAAAAAATCCATCAAATTTGGTTTGGTGGTTGTCGAGATACCTTCAATCAAATTTAAGAAAAATTTTTAAACGTCTATCAAAATATTAGCTACGGCAAATTTTCTTGACATTAATCGAAGGTATCTCGACACCCACATAACTAAATTCGATGAATTTTTTTTATTTGAATTCTACAGTTCCGGAGAATTCAAATAAAAAATTTCATCAATTTGGTCGTGTGGGTGTCGAGTTACTTTCGATCAAAGTTAAAAAAACATGATTTTACATATGGGCGTGGAAATATCAAAAAAGGGTGTGGAAAAATCAGGACCCTTTTTTTATTAAGCTAATTTTAGATATAGTAACCGTAGTTTTAAACACCACAAGTGCGTTAGGTGTACTTGAAAAATTAATACTTTATTACAGTGTTGTCAATGGACATGGACATGGACATAGACGTATAAAAATATGGATGTCCATGTCCATGGACATTGGACATTGTTTCCATGGACTCCATGTCCAATAATTTACTTGGACATATATGTCCATGTACAACACTGCTTTATTATGAATAAACTTTAAATGGTTCTACTACAGAATCCCGACCCCGCAAAATCTTGATGCACAATATATATCCCAAAAATACTAAAATCCTGACATTCAATATCCCGACATCAATCCCAACACTATCAATTAAGATTTTGGTAGTGTCGGGATTCTGTGCGTCGAGATTCTGTAGTAAAACCGAACAAACGATATTATGCTTTAACGAACTTAAGGCAAATTTTTGATATATATATATATATATATTGTTAAAAAATAATAATAATAATAAATTTTAGCGTAACTATGTCATTCTATATACATTAAAATAAAAGAAACTTTCTCTACATGTCTTTTAAAAGAATTATTATTCGTCTAAACTTTCGTAATCTGAATCTGGGCCATCTGGTACAATATCGGGCATTTCTTCATCCTCGTTATCATCGGAATCAAAATAATCGTTCCGGAACGACTTATACAGTTGAGTCTGGTCTTCCATATTACTACCATGTTCTTCAGGTTCTATACTATTAATATTTTCTTCAGGTTCTATATTATTAATATTTTCTTCAGGTTCTATATTATTAATATTTTCTTCAGGTTCTATATTATTAATATTTTCTTCAGATTCCATATTATTAATATTTTCTTTAGATTCACCCTCATGAACATTCTTTTCAGATAAGGATATCGAATCATTAGGTATTCTTTGAAGTGGTGGTAAACGACTATGAAACATAAGATCGCATATTGCTAATGCCTGAGAACTAAATGATTGTAACTGTTGAGCGTTAATGAAGCGTAAGCGTTTAGAATAACTATTAAATATTTCATGCAAAAAATAAATGGATTACTTGTCGTGACTGCGCATTTAGACCGGATGAAAAAATACGTAGGGCATGAGGAAGTATTGTGGGTTGAAACGCGGATGGAGCCACAATTAAAGCAAGTAAACATTCATATAACTTGAGTTGAATGTCACTTTCGTTATGAGTTGTACCTGAAGAATTTATAAGTTGGGAAAACGGTGCCAAAATCCGTGACAGAATGATATTATCAATAGTAGAGCGAGAATTGTAAGGTATCGAGGAACCACCAACCATAAGCAAGGTTTTCAAAACTAAAAATTTTAATTGATTGTGAAATAGGATTTTAAATTGCGATAAACGCATGAGATAAATTTGCAAACCTTCCAAAGCACTAATTTGTACATCCACATTATTAAATTCTTGAATGCCAGAATTGATAAGTTCATCTGAATTTGTAATTTGTCGTTTCTTATTCTTGCCTCCTTTCTAAAGTAATAAAATTAAAAGTAGTAAAATATGTAGTATACATATGCTTATACAGGGGTACCATGGGTTACCGAACAGTCTATTTATGTGGCAGTAACTTTTTTTCTTACATATTAAACCACCAAAATTTGCCCCTTGTTAGAATGTCAGAGACGATCTCTTTTTGTAATTTCGATTTAGAATAAATGCCTTTGTGGATAAATAAAACAAGAACTAACTTGTTTGCAAGAATAAATTTTGGTACCATCCAAATCGTCACATCAAGACGAGTCCAATAGTACCAAAATTGTTAAACTTAGATTACTATATTATAAGCTATAATGATATTTAAATAAATTTAATGAAAATTTAATTATCTTAATAACTAGTAATCTAAATTTAATGATTTTGGCATCATTCAATTTGTCTCTATGAGACATTACTAAATCGTGAGATATTTGCAAAAAAGTATTTGAATATAGATTTATATAAAATTTATTAAATTGCATTACAGATTGTTTTTTATAAATATCTTGTTATGTGTAGTGATCCAAATTTGACAATTTTGACACCATTCAATTCATATCAATGAGCCGGTTAGAATGGTGCCAAAATCGTCAAATTTGGATCACTACATAACAAGATATTTATAAAAAAACAATCTGTAATGCAATTTAATAAATTTTATATTCAAATACTTTTTTACAAATATCTCACGATCTAGTAATCCAAATTTAATGATTTTGGTACCATTCGAATCGTCTCAGAGAAAAATCGAATGATACCAAAATCATTAAATTTGGATTGCTAGTTATTAAGATAATTGAATTTTCATTAAATTTATTTAAATATCAATATCTTATAATATAGTAATCTAAGTTTAACAATTTTGGTGCTATTGGATTCGTCTTGATGTGACGATTTGGATGGTAATATTCTTGCAAACAAGTTAGTTCTTGTTTTATTTATCCATAAAGGCATACATTTGACCCAAATTTTTAATGAAATATGCATCGCATTTTTATATGCATATTATAAAAAAGAGATTGTCTTTGATATTCTAGCAAGGGGTAAATTTTGGTGGGTTAATATGTAAGAAAAAAAGTTACTGCCGTATAAATAGACCGTTCGGTACCAGTGTTGGAAATTCAAAAGACAATATGGTGGTTTTTGTGAACATTTATTTTTTTTGTTCACATTAAAAAAAAAATAATGATCACAAATAAATTTTATTAGATAAAATTTATTTATGTTCATAAATGTGATTTTTTTTTAAAAAATTTATGTTCACTGTGAACATAAACATATGATTTCCAACACTGCATGGTCCTGTATATATTTTTGTAATCATGAAATATGTATAAATAACTACATACCTTTCCGGTACTAGATACTATGCTTGTTAATACATCACACTGTGGTTTTTGTTTTAATCTAATATCATCAATAATGGAAGTCAGCAGAGATGATGATATAAAATGTACAAATCCAATTCCATATTTCTGCATACAAAGAGAAGTCAATCGATATATAGAACTACGTAATAGCCTATAAATTTAACAAGAAAACAAAGTGTTTATAGCAATTAAAATAATTTACTCGTGAAAAAAAAAAAAAAAATTTACCATTTGTCCCTGGACTTTTCTAATAGTTTCAATATTATATCTGATATTAAACGCAAATGACGCGTAAAATATTCTCCTGCACTAAATTAAACGCGCTTTTAATAAAAAAAAATTTTCGTTGTTTACACAATTCTCACTGAAAATAAAGCTCACCAAATAATTAGACTTGAAAGAACTTTATTGCTATGCACATACAATGATGGCACACCCAGCATAAGTGTATAAAATTCATTCTTATCTTTGTTTACAATCTGTCCAAAAAAGGTGATATGTTTGCATAGGTTATGTCACATGTTTATCAAAACTTGTATCAAGTTTTTAAGTTTATAAAATGGACACTTACAAATGAGCCATCGCAAACGTTATAAACCCTGCAGAGGAGGTCAAGGAACTGATTCATGGGAACATGAACTGGTATGGAAGTCGGCAAACTATGTAAGAAATTTATATTAAGAATTTGAATACAACGATTATTAAAGACTGATTTATTTTTGGGTTAATATAGTTATTCGTACCTCACTAAAGAGATAATGCATTCACACAAACATTGGAATCTCGAAAATAAAATTGGAAAGGCAATAATATAATCATCAGGAACCGAAGGGAACTCAAATTGAAGCAGATTATTTGATGCATGCTTTTCTAATATTTATAATCAAAATAAAATTAATTCAAGTAAAGCGTATAAGCAGAAAATATTAAAATATTGTTTATTCACACCTTCGTCAATCGTGTCAAATAACCGGTCCAATAAGAAATTTAATGATCCAATTAATCTTAATGAAATTGACTTCCAATGAACCAAAGAATTTGTTTTGCCACCAGTATTTGTTATACTCGCAAGACACTTAGCAGCAGATTGGACAACAAAAGATCCATAATCAAACGTTCCATCCAGGACACCAAGACACAATTTTTGAGTATTTTCAACAAATGGGCGAAATATAGTTGGAAACTGCATGCATGACTGAGATAAAGCGTCAAATATTGTGGACTATAAGGAAAAAATTAAAGAGTTAAGTAATGACTACATAAAAAGCTTTAGTTTGATGAATGATACATACCAAAAGTTCTTGATTTTCCGATAGATTTAAAAGAGTTGTATTAAATCGAGGAAGTTGTTGTGAAGTTACTTCCCTTTGTAGTTCAGGTTTGTTAATTGTTTTTCCAAACATGTTAGAAAGAGTCCAAATGACATCGGCCAAAATAAGAGTTGATTCCGGTCGCTGAGAATAATATGGAAAGACATTAACAAGTGAATAAATAACAAAAAATTCTTTCAAAAATAACCAACCGTAAGCAAAGTTAATAAAGCAGAAGACCATGATTGTAAGTGTTGAATAAACAGAGTCTCTGATTGTTGGATAGAAATTTTCACAAAAGAAACCCCAGCCCATTTCGCACCACTAACTTTGGACTGTAACAGGGAATTAATGCGTGTACACCATTTATGAACCGAGCCTTGTTCTGCCGAGCTGGTTTCTTGCCTTGCATTATTGGCTTTCTCTGTGGCTAATAATTGATAGTTCGTTATCGTTTCAAGAATGAAAGGTACAAAAGAATCGACTGTATTGTCATTTAGAGTATAATTTACAACTAGTGAATGTAAAAGTTTCGTCTGATCTAACATTTTAAAATATTTGATAATTTGATAATCTTTTTTGTTTGATATATGCCCAATTTGGAATATTAAAATCGTGACCAACAGGGTCTTATTAGTGTCCTATTAGTAGGGATGTTAATCGGTCCCGCAGTAATTGTCAGCCGACGATTTATAAAAAATTGGCATTTTTAACCGGGAATGATTTGCGTATATCGGTTTCGTGTAACTTCACGTTCATCAAAATTTTTTTAGCCAAACAGGGGAGAACGTCCCAAATATGGACAATGGTTACACGAATGTTGAGTGATTGTCACATGCAAATCAGCCAATTAAAATCGTTGATTTTTTTAAAAAAAATCAAGCAATTCGAACAAAATCAAAGAAATTTAATAAAAATTTATATTTAAAAACTTAAAGTGAATGTCGTTGAATGTTATTACAGGTAG